TAATCATGATCCAGTTCAGACATAAATTCAAAATGTTTTTTACTATTTGAGCCTTTTATATTATATTATATTCTTGCTCACTCCTTGACATTGTGCTCTACCTGGATTCTATCCTCTTGGAAATAAATATATATATATATATATGTTTGTGTGTGTATGTATAGGATTGGTGTATACGAAATAAAGTCCAATAACCGAAAAAGACTCTTCTTAAAAGAGTTCTCAATACAGAGTAGAGAAAATATAATTTATTCGAAAATTATAACAAAGTTGTAATTTATGCTATATTCATGTTAGAATTTTCGAATAAATTATATATATATATATATATATATATATATATATATTACACATACAATACTTATTTGTTGGAACAACTGACATATCAATGTTGAAATCTGCTCATCAATTCATTCAATCAAGTACTGCTTCAAATCCATATCAAAGGGGGTCAGATTAAGCGGTTTTAGCACAAACCTCCCTCCATCGTTTTTTTTACCATTTGATTTTAATTTAATTTAAATTTGAACAAGGGAATGACTCAAAAATCGGCAACATCATTAAGTATTACCGAAATGCCTCATTTCTCTACACAAAGTATAACAATGATTTAAAATCAATCATCATTTTCTTCCAAGAAATGTCTGACTAGCAGAAAGTCGTGGTAATTCGGCTAATATTACATGATAATGTAAATCTCTACGTCAGGCGGTTAAAATATGAAACAATTGCTATAATAATGATACATGCCATCCTTAGATTATAGAAGTTGGACTATAGCTGACTATTTTATCTACCTTACAAATGTTTTACCAGATAGAATTGAGTAGCGAAATGTTATTAGTATCTTAATATTATTGTATTAATAATTTTATTATAATATACTTCAGCCAAGCCCATTGGCAGTGAGCACTATTTATTTATATTTTCACCTTTAGCATATATATATATATAGTTTATGAAAAACTAGGTAATCCGTATGGGTAAAACTAAGAAGGAAAAAATCTAGAGAGCTCAATGTTTTTTTCATTTTTTGTTTGGAAGTAAAGTCTGATGATCCGCAGTCCTTTTAAAAGGGCTGTGGTGAAATAATTTATTACATGGAACCTTAAAGTGGTCCGTTTTTATTTAAATTATATATATATATATATATATATATATATATATATATATATATATATATGGAAAGTGTGCATATAAGGCAGGGTGAGGTCAGATTTAATAATCAGCTGAATCTGGTGTCAGATGGAAACCCAGGAAGCCTAGTAGCATTTTACAGTTCGATCCAACCTGAATTTATCGGTTGAAATCAATCAGTTATGCCGTTGAAAATATTCTTGCCACACAACAAAATACCATTCTTTGTTCTAGATCTTGCCTACTGCGTTTTTCCATCTCGGAAAGATCAGACATTTCGAGGCTGACTTAGCCAACAAAGCTCAACTGGAAATCTATATCATCTCCTGGTTTTTCTTTCGAACTCGAAGGTTGAAACAGTTCCAAATTTCTCTCATAGGAAACATGTCCTCGAAAAGGAACTGTTTGTTACAGAATGATAACAGATTTTAATATACTGACGACAGAGCTAAATCTGGATGTCTGTTCACTGAAGCGATTTCAGTTTGAAATACTAAACACCTCGTCGAAATAATGTGGCTTGCCAATATACAGCACCATTAGCCAAGGTTCGTTTAGTTTTGAGTTCAAAGGATGTTTTCCAATTTTCAATAAAGTTCCACTGACTGGCAAGTGAAGGGATTCATATTGACCGTTTCTCTTAGTATATAGGCAAAGCAGTAAGCTAAATATTTTAAAAAATCAGGCACAGAAATGAAACACACACACACACATATATATATATATATATATGTGTGTGTGTGTTTTTCATTTCTGTGCCTGATTTTAAAAAAATTTACTATATATATATATATATATATATATATATATATATATTAGATATATATCTAAAAGTCAAATAACCTTAGTCCATAGTTATCTTTAATCTTGAAAAAGTTGTTTAAACGCTCTCTGAAAGAGAACTTTTCCTAGTTTTAATTTGGTCCACTTTTTAATGATGAACACTTATCCAGCTGTTTGATCTTTTTTTGTATGAACATGAACGTTGATCACCTTAAATATCACAAACAATATGTCTCCTGTTCAATGCTGACTCATCATTGAAACTTCGATGGCAATATCTTGTCAGTTTCCTTCATAAAAGCATAGCAAACTTGCTACTTTGCTCTCTAGCTATCGAATCTCCGGAAGAGAATTCGCAATTAATAAGTGCTTATTCCATACATTTACTCAAGCTCTGCGTTCCTCTGTCCCTCTTTTCTTTAATTTGTCCTGTGAGTATAAAATTTTCCCAGTCCTCTTTCCTCATAACGTACCCCCCAAAATTCAGCTGCCTTTATCCTGATGTTAAGTATAAGTTTCATTTTTTGTTTCTATTTTCTCTAAAACATCGCCGTTTCTCACAGGTTTGGTCCATGGTAATGTCAGCTTCTCACTGTAGAACTACATTTCTGCTGCTTCAAGTTTTTCTTCATTTTCAGGCGAGACAAATCAGACCAAAACTAAAGTTTGCTGATCTGTGTTATCTAGAACTGCTCAGTACATTTTTGCCATCCTTGACAGAGTTCAAAATCGTTAGTGTGGCCTTACTGGAGAGGGGGGATTTATTTCACAATATACAGTCCCTTTCCCTACAGATGCAAATTCAAAAGCCTATCGCTATTTCAGTTGCGTTGCAGCTCAGACAATCCATTAAGGTTCGTCAAAAGGTTGGAATTTCTTCTAGTCAAACGCTTGTGACTTAAAAATTACCCTTCAGTCAGATTCCTAGCAGTAAAAAAGACATCGTTCTCGGGTTGTAACTTAATACTATAAGCGAGCGAAAGAGACATGAGACGGAAGTGAGCGGGGAAGTGCACAGCTCACTGGCCGTGTTCTATGTTTTAATTCGAGACCCACTTTTTGCGAGATGTTCAGTTTCATAGATAACAATTTCCTTTGTCTTGTCGTCTTCGTCTAACAAGGAATTAATGTTTCTTCCGTGACTTTCTCAAAGTCTGAGCCTCTTGCTCTATATGTTGAAGCTGCCTCCACTTACTGATAACCATCGGCCTAAAGTAAGCGTCCAGTATCGATTTACGCGGTAGGCCTCACTGTTTTTCAATTCAACAAGGCCTCATCTGTCTCATATTGCTACACTTCCAGGTCAAATGTTCAGACGGGCTCCATTTTTTAGTGCCATCAATTCAGACCATTAAAGTCCAGACCCGCCTTGCTATACCCACAGGACTCAATCACTCCCATGCCCTGTGTATTCTATTGTTAAAAAGCACGTTTAACTAATCCAGCAAGAACCGGTACTTCGTTAAACATACCACTGTGTGCAGGTTTTTCTACACATTACCATCTTTAATTCTAAGGTCAATTGTTATCCATCCTCCATGTTCTCATAATCTTACTACTACTTACTTTTAGCCTGATATCAAACAGCTCATTCACGAAACGTTTACCTTGATGGCTAATGTAACTTGTATAACATCTATTTATGCCGGTGTGCGTTTAATATAATGGAAGCTAAGTTCAGACAAATGTTGAGAGAGAAATATTTATTCCATTGTTATAAAAGATTTTACAACTATAATTACTCGTTACAAGATAATATAAAGGGACTATGGCGTAAATTACATTAAGGGGACGGTTTGTTCCTCACAGAATGGTATATTTTAATTCCGATAGACATGATATATTTTACGGCAGTTGAACTTGTACAGCACATGGACATAAGAACAGAGTTAATTACCCCCTGTCTAGACTGGAAAAGCAAAAAGTGATTTCCCCCTGGCTAAGTCGATTAGGTTACGTAAATACTATTTAATTCGATCAATCGTTGCAGCGTGCAAGTATCGATATATTTTGTCAAAATTATTCAAAGGATAGGGAAAAGTATAATTCTCATGGGCTTCCTCTTTTCTTTATATATATATATATATATATATATATATATATATTAAAGTAAACCTAAAGAGCCAGACAAATCTACCTAGGTTTCACCTACGCGGATCGTCAGGACGAGTATAACTGCTTATATTTATAAGATTATTAGTGATATATATATATATATATATATATATATATATATATATATATCCATGAATTTGTCTATAAGAGCTCTTCATATCTTCCCATCATATCTAAGCATCATTTAACCTCCCAGTTCTTGTTCTCGTAGCCATTTTACACAAATTCGTTATGAAGATTATTCAATGTTTCCGTGTCTCTTTTGCTTTCAGTTTGTCCGGTGTCTCAAATTCTCAAATACATCTTTCTACATTAGCTCTACGGAAGGACAATAGAATTTCTATGGCAGCCGGTCAATTCTGATCTGATATGCATTTGTGTGTACTTATCGAGTAAATATATACTCATACATTGTTACCAGAGATATGCATATAATGGGTCCAAAACATATTTATTTGTTAGCATTATTCTGTGCAGGGATATGTTTTTATAAATCTGCGCTTGTATAGATTAACATTCACTTGCATTCGTTATTGTGTTTATATTGTGCATATATTTAACTTTATGTATTTCTAAATTGGTGTAGTTGCATTGTTTTACGTGCATATATGTGCGTATTTGACTGTAATGAACAAATCCAGTCGCCTGTTTACACGCATGCGCATTCTCTTGTATAAGCGGAATTGTAATGGCGAATTCTTTTTCATTAACTAACGAAATATAAACGAATAATGTAAATAATATAGAATTCTCATGGAGTTTAAAATGTCAGAGAAAAGTGAGTTCAAAAGATCAAAGATCTGTAAATATTAGCGAAATGGAAATATAATGAAGTGAAAAAACGAAATTGATGTAAGCAGAAAAGAGGTAGAAACGATGTATGAAAAACTGAAGAGGAGAAGGCAAAGAGAGGTTCACTGAAAGTGACGCAGAAAGAATGTGTGCCGGAAAGCAAGGGCGTAAGATCAGGAGGCGAGTAATTCTATGTATAAAAGAATGAGAGAAAATATTGAATGATCAGAGAGATGGATATACAAGGAAATTATTTTGAAGAAAGGGTTAAGAAAAAATATAGGGAGAGAAAGGAGTGAGAAATAAGATGAAATGTGAGGGTGGTAAAATAAAAATGGCAATCCTGGTAGAGAAACGATCGGAAGAGGAAGGATCGAGAAATAGAATGAAATGAGAGGGTGGTAGTAACAAAGATGACCATAACATCTGAAGAAAAGTTTGGGAGAGTAAGGAGCGAGAAATAGGATGAAATGAGAGGGTAGCAATAACAAAGATGAGCATAACATCTGAAGAAAAGTTTGGGAGAGTAAGGCGCGAGAAATTGAGAGGGTGGTAAAAAGATCAGGTAACAGGACATAATGAGTGAGTAGTGATTGAACGATCATGAAAGGGGAAGAAAGAAAATTGTAATGAAAATAATGAGAAAGATGTAAGCAAATATAGTGGGCGGTCAAAAAGATAAAAGTGGAAAAAAAGATGAACGGATAGACATAAAAGAGAGGATACCCAACAGTGGTAAAAAAAAAAAAAAAAAAAGAGACGAAACCTGAGGGGAGGAAAAAGAGTTTGGTGGAATCTAAGATAAAATATTACTTACGTTATTCGGGCTGTTATCCTCACCTTCATTGCCATATTCACAACGTTTCGGCCGTTTTACGCTCTGGCCTTCTTCAGGTGATTGGAACTTCGAACCAAACCCTTTATTTCGCCCAGCGGGGTAGATTGTTCTCATTCCACGTGCATCCTTCTTCCGGATGTCTCAGTTATTTCCCTTTAACTCAACCTTCCAAGATTTTTTGTGTCCTCGAGGACAGTGGATAAAGACGTTGGTTGGATCCAGTAATTAGAATCAAAGAATTGTTCGTTAAGTACTAGGCTACAGCAGTGGTGAAAAAAAAAATGGACAGTTGTTTTTAAGGGAAATAACTGAGGCATCCAGAAAAGCCATGACACGTACAACTAGATCAATCTACCCCATTGAACGAAATAAAGGGTTCAGTTCGAAATTCCAATCACCGGGAGAAGGCCTGAGTGTACAACGACCGAAACGTTGTGAATATGGCAATCTCAATAACGTAAATAATGTAAATAAGCATAATACCTCATCTCAGAGATATATACAGCGACTAAGATAAACAGAAGAAAAAACTGAGAGTGGTAAAAAAAAAAAAAAAAAAATAAAATAATTCAGGAGCAAAATAAGCGGGCGGCAACTCGAAAGAAAAACGTTGTCAAAATAAAACAGCAAACAAAAAGAAATAAAAGATAACATTTTTCCAAATAGATCGGGAGATCTAACTCTTAGACTTCCTGTAGATTATAGTGTTAATCTCAGTATTGGACGTGCCGAGGTTGTTTCAATAGGATGCTGGCTTCTAGTTGCAAAAGAAAGACAGAGAATATTCAAACAACTTAAGGGACGGAGAGGTACATTCGCACCATCCCGACAGGCATTTGTGCGAAAGTGAAAGACGAAAAAATAAGCCCACATCGCTGATCCCACTTTTAGCGTCGATATATTTTTCGAATAGGCGTACCGAAGAAATCTTCAGATAAAAGTACACAATTACTTCAGGGTCACATCCCCACGTTCTTCAAAGTAAAGATTTTTCGGAGGAAGAAAATGATGCACCAATTTTCTAAGGTAAGGAGAGCCTCACTAAATAAATCAGTGTTTGATATATTGAACTTTTACCATACAAGGTTCTATTGCAGATTATTCGTGCCAAAAGTAATTTTATATCAACTGCTAAGCAGACGCCCCTAAATATATAGATCGAAAGATCGATCAACAAATCAATCGCCAGTGGCAAAAGTTATAGGTAAAAATATCTGAAACATCTAAAATAGTTCGGAAATGTTGTGAACGTTCGTGGAAAAGAGGGAGAGATGGGACAGGTCGAACAAAGTGATGATGCAGGCATTGCTACCGATGGAAAGCGTCAGATATGAAAGATGCTCTTTCGATTATATATATATATATATATATATATATATATACACAAGTGAGAAAAATTTGAGTCTTACACTAAAAATATTCAGTAAAAAAATAACTATATTAGGTCATATTCTAGGAAGTGCTTTAGCCAGAGAAATTTCAAGCAGTGCATATAACAGAAATGAAGGTGTTTAGCTTAATATTACAAGACATTTTAAAAGCGAAGCAACCGGTTTCACTCCCAGTCTTTAGGACACTACGGGAGATTTAACTTAAATTAAAACAACAGAAAATTGTGTAATCAGAAAGAGAAGAGGAAAAAATTCTTCCGGGATTCTATAAAAATTTTCGTTGCCCGTGTGTATTTTTTGTTTTAAATATATATGTTATCCGGAAAAAAAATGTTTAAATGTTTTCTACTGCATTTCCCTTGTTTTAGAATTTTTCATTAAGTACATTTCCGTGAAATGATGTTGATGTATTGCAGTTTTTCCCCAAAATACATCCGAACCGGCGAAAAAAATCATTTGTGGTTTCTGTATATCCCGTCATTAAGTCTTGTTCTTTCGTATCTTTTCTTTCTCTAACCCATTTTTAAAACCTGCACATTCTGGGTACAAACATTTACTCTCTCTACATCTACTCTACACTTCTCTCTCTCATATATATATATATATATATATATATATATATAAATTCAACCCACCGTACAGAAAAAACGTAAGAACATATGTAGTAAAAATATTCTTCATACTCTTACCCAAACACTTCCCGGTATTATGCCCCCCCTACACAAAAATTATCAACAAACCACACGAACAAATTAAACCAACGTGTAACTGCAGAATAAAGAACGAAAGTCCCTTAAACAGTAATTGTTTACAAAACAACGTAATATACCAAGCCACGATAAAAATCACCAGATAACGAAGAAAATATAAAAAAGAGTAACTGAAGGACCCTGAAAACAAAGAAATTATGCACACAAAACATCTTACACAAATAGTATATATGCGAACAGCATTATGCTTTCTAAGTATATCTGGGAAATTAAAAACAAAACGCACATCACACCAAAGATATTCTGGAAAAAAAAACAAGATGATCAGCCTAGAACAAACAATCAAAAACTTGCAAACTCTGATTGGAGGAAAAAATAACTATCATTACATTCACAGACCAAAATAAATTATTAAATAAAAGATTCTAGCTGATTTCAAAATGCAGACATGAAAACAATTTTTCCTCCGTTACTTAAAAATCGAAAACTGAAAAAATAGAATAAAATAAACAAAATGAAAATAAAATAAGTAAAATAAATTAACAAATCACACCCATTAGAATAGACGAAATAGAATAAATAAATAAAAAAGCAAAATCAATAAACCCAAATAAATAAAGTAAATAATAAACAAATTACCAAACCATTATGACCAAAATATTAGACTATAAAAATCAAACCAAAAATTCGGACGAAAAATATAGCTATAACTTTTATATAACGATAAAAAATACTACGTTACTTAAAAATTGAAAAAAATAAATGAAATATACGGTATAATAAATAATAAAAAACAAGTAAAATAAATTAATCTAAATACATTCAAATAAATAAACTAACAAACCGATCCCGATAAATTAACCGTTAAACAAATAAAAATAATCAATCTAAATAAATACATGAAGTAATAAACAAATTAAAAACTACTCCCACCAAAATAAGTTAAAATAAACCCCAACAATCAACCCCAAAATTGAATAAATAGCTTTAATATCTTCCCAAAACAAAACAAAACTGTTAAACAAGCGATATAAACACATGTTTACTACGTTAATAAAAACAACGATTAAAATAAATATATAAGATAAGAAATGAAAATAAAAATAAAAAAAAATAAAAAAATACAACCAAAATAATTTAACCCAAATAAATAAATAAACAAATAAACGACTTCCGGTAAAATAACCGCCAAAATAGATTACCCACAATGCACCACTGACCCGTATACATAAATAGAGAAAAATAACAGCACTCGTGGCCTGACGATTGCGTCTAGCATGAAACAGACCTTCGCCTCTTGGTGTTGACTTCAATGTTCACTTTTATATTTACACACGCTCTATCTCTGATATTGAACAATTTATCCCATAAATATTGCACAAAACGTTAAGATTATATTTCTTTATATATATATATATATATATATATATATATATATATATATATATATATATAACATCCCTTTTATGTATGTGTTGCATTCCTTTCATCACGTTAGCTTTTTTATTTTTTAAATTACCTTGTTCAATTTTTCCAAATTTTAATTTTGTCCCAGCTGTGGATTAAATAACAAATCACAATTGGCTCACACGAAGGTGTTGAAAAGTAGTCTGGGAGAAGATAATAAATTGAATTGAAAACGGGGGAGAAAGTAACGCAAAACCACTTCACTAACAATACGAAGAATGACTATTGAAACACCCAGTTTAGAAGGAAGAAATGGGAAGGATAAATGTAAAAAGATGAGAGAAAGATATTGTATCATATAATAGATTTTTTTATAACATTTTTCAGAATTCAGACACCAGAATAAAAAGAACAATTTCAACAACTGAGGAAACAGATTATATGTATGAATATATATACATATATATATAATATGAACAATGGAATTGTTTAGTAGAATTACAGATCTCTTCGAGATTGATTTTGCTAAAAATTATCTGAACTATCACTGATAATGTCAATAAAATGATAGGAACAATGAACACTGAAAAGTTAAAAAATATATATATATATATATATATATATATATATATATATATATATATATTTATTTTTATGTAATTTTTAAAAATGCGTGTGACTCAAATATTTTTATATACATATAGAGTGAGAAATTGGTACCCTAGGAAAAAATTTAATTAATAAAATATAATAAGAACTAAAAACATCAGAACAATTTTGTAAAAAAATGGTCAAGTGTCTTAAGTATATATTAGTCCAAAGAAAAAAAAATATTATTTTATACCTTATAAAACAATATTTCGAAAATTTAGAAACAAAATACGCTAAGTAGATTCCAATTTAGAGTTTTCTAAAAATTATAAATTCAAACTTACAACCTAGGTTTCAAATTTAAAAATGGATCTTCAGGGTAGCGAATATGTTTTATAAATATATATATATATAAATGGCCTAACAGAAAGTAATTAATTTCTGAGATCCTTAACGATACATCGTTACAGAAATAAATACGTCATGTCTCTACTTTGGGGCGATACAAGCTGGTTAAATTCCTAAAATGTCCGTTGTAGTAATTCCTCTTTAACATTCTTTTTTTTCTATGAAAAATGCTTTCTTGATTTTCGACCCCTAATCGCATACACTTTTCTTTTTCATCATTCAATTTCGGGGTCATTTTTATTTTTGCGGGGCGAGAGATCTTTTTTTTTTTTTTTCATTATTCAGTTTCGGGGTCATCTTTTTTTTTACCTTTGAAATTATCACGTCCATCAATGGAACTTACGAATTCACAACAGCCTTATACTAATTCTATTAACCTATTCATTTTACTTTGTATTTTTTTCTCCTTCTAACATCATTTGCTTTACCTTCCGTTTTACGATCTTCAGTTCTTGACAACGTGCGTATGTTGCAATAACGCGTGTTGAAATTTGCCTGAATTTTACGATGGTTCTGTTTATGTTGGTGATTCAAAAGTGTTGTTCTTAAAGGTCAAAGGCCTTACTTTTGTTTTTTACATGATCGTTTAAAAATAGATTAACATCGAAAGATTTCAATAGATTAGACTTTCAAATACAAAAATTTCAGTTAAAAACTATTTTATTTTTAAATGGAAGAACGTGGTTATAAACAATTTATATGTTCAGTTATTAGCAAGTATAATTTAGATGAAGAGAACGGAAACCGGAGGTCACAATCTGTTTTTGAATTTGAATCCGCATTATTCTGCGTCTTTTCTTAATCCATAAAAAAAATTAAGATCGGAGCTATCTAAAAAAATAAAAAATGACAATATAATCAATATCTATATAATCTTTTACTTTTGCGAGAGGTTTATATTTTTAAATGATTTTTTGATTATAAAACCCTTATTGAGTTATTTAAATGGTGAGAGTAAAAATGAAAATTATCGGAAATCATTTTTTTGTCTAAAATAAAACTGACACATATATATATATATATATATATATATATATATATATATATATATATTTGAACTTGTAGTTAAAACGAAAATAAAATTGTATATTCACAGCATTAATTCAATACCATTAATAGAAAAATAATTATTTATTAGAATTTAAATACAACACATTAAAACCATTTTCATTACTAAGATGAATTCTTGTTTTTTACAGCCCGTATTTCCAAAACAAGATTGTATCTTGTAGTAGAGATAAATTATTGGATTTTTTTCCGTATAAAATTAATATATATATATATATATATATATATATATATATATGTGTGTGTTTATGTGTGTGTGTGTGTGTGTGTGTGTATTTATTGATTGAACCTTTTTCTTAATTTCAAATGTTCTATTTTCGTAAACTGTTAAATCAAAAGACCAATAGATAAAAAAAAAAACCTAATATAAGTCTAATAGACCAAAGATGGAGTATTGCTGCCCTATTCAAGCTTGAACAGCGTAATCATCATATAATGTTCGTTTCAAAGATAAATACTCGGACTTGTTTAGAAATGGCTACATCCCTATTCCTCAAAATATTTTCAGACATTGTATTTGCTTTTATTTTTGTATGACAGATGTTCAGACGAAAATCCAAAAATTTAGTTCCACAAACTCAGACGATTAAATAATAAACTCCCAAAAAGCTATACAAAAATATTCCACCCGTATTCTTTTTTGAAAAATTTAAAATCTTCTTCCCAACAAGAAAATTGGTCATTCACAAAGATTTCAGTGCGGATGTTTTCCAGAACACTGCAATCTTTAACT